TTTTGGCTGTGTTGTATGCAGCTTGTGTCTCTGTGTATCCCTGATCTCTGGAGGCATGGGCGGCAGCGCCGGTAAAGGGCGATGCGCTTCTCCAGGGGGATGGCAGGCCGCAAGCAGGTATCCTGGTGTTGCAGGGCAGGGGCGAGCCAGGTATAGAGCTCCTGGAAGGTGGCCTTCCGCATCCGGAAGTTCCAGAGCCACTGGTTGTCATCCCACTGCTGCAACAATAGCCGGTCCCACCAGTCAGAACTGGTGTCCAGCCTCCAAACTCGCCTCTCCAGGAATAAGTTGGGGGGCAAGGGCAACAGGGCTGCATCCTGAGCAAGGGGCTCAATGCTGGTCTCAGAATCCAGCTCTGCTGCCAAGGTCAGCATGCTTTCCTGAGCACGCAGCAGAGCTTCCACCAGCACGGTGTGGGACCATCATCTGCCCAGGGGCAGCTGAGTCTCCATGGCCAAAAAAGCCAAAATAACACACAAACAAAAGAAACAGACAAAAGGACAAAAATACAAACAAAGGAACAAAAAAAAAAAAAAAAAAAAAAAGCCAAAACCCAAACAAACATACAAGCAAACACAGAAACAAACAAAAACACAAACGAACAGGCTGTGTCTAGACTGGCAAGTTTTTCCACAAAAGCAACTACTTTTGCGGAAAAACTTGCCAGCTGTCTACACTGGCCTCTTGAATTTCTGAAAGAACACTGACGATCTCACGTAAGAAATCAGTGCTTCTTGTGGAAATACTATGCTGCTCCTGTTCGGGCAAAAGTCCTTTTGCGCAAAAGCTTTTGCACAAAAGGGCCAGTGTAGACAGCTCAGATTTGTTTTGCGCAAAAAAGCCCCGATCACGAAAATGGCTATTGGGGCTTTTTTGCACAAAAGCAGGTCTAGATTTGCACGGACGCTTTTCCGTAAAAAGTGCTTTTGTGCAAAAGCGTCCGTGCCAATCTAGACACTCCTTTCCGCAAATGCTTTAACGGAAAACTTTTCCATTAAAAGCATTTGCGGAAAATCATGCCACTCTAGACGTCGCCACAGACACACAGACAAATCAGAAAATAAGCAGCTGTGGTGTCTGAAAAAGAAGAGCAACCAGAGCCAGAAAAACTGCTGCAGCTTTGATTTCCCTGTATAAGGTAGGCAAGCCAGAAGCAGGAGTAGAGCTACGGCTTTCAGGAGTATCCCTTTAAGCACGCATCTCTGCAGAGAGCATGCAGCAGTGCTTGGGCTTTATGGCTGCCCCTGTGACCTTTGAGAAGCACTTCTGGGTGCCTTCTTCTGTCGACAGAGCATCCTGCAGTCTGGATGCTTTTTGTCGACAAAACTCACTTTGTCAACAAAGCGACGTATTCTGGACGCTCTATGTTGATATAAGTTTTGTTGACAGAACTTATGTTGGACATACCCTCAGTAACATCCCTCATCCAATAAGGGTCCTGAACCTTCTCTTATCACCCATTTATTGCTAACATGCCTGTAGAAACCTTTCTTGTTACCCTTCACATACCTTGCTAGCTGCAATTTCAGTTGTGTTTTTGCCTCTCTGATCACTGCCCTGCATGCTCAAGCAATATATTTATACTCCTGCCTAGTCATCTGTCCAAGTTTCCACTTCTTGTAAGCTTCCTTTTTGTGTTTAAGCTCACCCAGGGTTTCCATGGTAAGCCAATCTGGTTGTCTACCATATTTGCTTTTCTTACTGCATATTGGGATGGTTTCTTCCTGTGCCTTCAATAAGGCTTCCTGAAAATACAGCCAGCTCTCCGGGATTCCTTTCCCTTTCATGTTAGCATCCCAGGGAATCCTGTCCTTCAGTTCACTGAGGGAATCAAAATCTGCTTTTCTAAAACCCAGAGTGTGTATTTTGCTACTCTGCTTTCTTCCTTTGGTCAGGATCCTGAAATTGACCATCTCATGATCACTCCTGCCCAGGTTGCCACCCACATCCACTTCCCCTACTAGTTCCTCCATGTTTGTGAGTAGCAGGTCGAGCTGCACATGGCCCCTGGTTGGTTCCTTCAACACTTGTATCAGGAGTTATCCCCAACATTCTCCAAAACCTTCCTGGATTGTCTGTGTACTGCTGTATTGGCCTCCCAATAGATGTCAGGGTGATATAAGGCCCCCATGAGAACCAGGGTATGTGATCTGAAAGCTCCTCTTAGTTGTCCGAAGAAAGGCTTGTCTACCTCATCCACCTGATAGGGTGGTCTCTAGCAGACACCAACCACAACATCACTGCTGTTCCTTCTACCACGTCCTCAGATGCTGAAAAGAAAAGAAAAAAAATGGATACAGAGATGGAAGTGCTAATTATATCAATGCTAATTATATCAGCGTGGATGTGGCTCATGTCCAACAGTGATGAAAAGTCTCAGAGGGTAGCTGTGTTACACTGTAACTGTAAAAACAAACAAGGAATCCGGTGGAAACTTAGGGTACCACTACACAGCAGTGTTATTTCAGAATAACTGATGTTATTTTGAAATAAAATAGTGGCTACGTCTAGACTGGCCCCTAATTCCGGAAAAGTCATGCAAAGCAGGTAAGTCAGAATAGGGAAATCCGCAGGGGATTTAAATATCCCCCGCGGGATTTAAATAAACATGCCCGCCGCTTTTTTTCCGGCTTGGGGAAAAGAACTTGAAAGTTTGCAACATGAAAGTAGGAATAAGAGATCCTCCGGAAAAGGGCTTTATTCCGGAGGATCGCGCCAGTCTAGACGCTTTTCCTCAAGCTGGAAAAAAAGTGGCGGGG